AAGTTGACTGAAAGGACATTAAGGCACTTACTTTGTCGTTCAGCGGTTTCTCGTCATATAAGTCGAAGAAGAGTGCATAATCCTTGGAAGTAACATCACAGGGCCCTTTAAAGGCAAAACTCTTCGAAAACGTTTCCCATAACTCGTTACAATCCACTTTGGACGGGTTCTCAAGATCTTTTCCCCTATTTTCAATAAAATCCCAGCACCTTCCCAAGAAGATTTCTTTCAGGTGCTGGGTGGTACCTCCGATTGGCTTAAACATCCATTTGTTCCTGTTCCTGTTAATTCTCTGGTCGTAATATTCTTGAATTCTTCCCTCTACAAATTTCGTGTCTTCATCAGCGTTATTCCGAAGTTTCGTTGCTTTTGCTAACCGATTTCTCGATCCTGGATTTTGAGCCATGTTGTAACCTTGAGGTAATAACGGTGGATGATATGTACTGATACTGCCTATAGGGTATCTCCCCCATAAATTGTTGTATCGCTTTGCAAGCCAGTTATTTTGTCTGCTGTAAAACAGCGGCTGATTGAAAGTATTTTGATACGCACGATTTGCAAAAGACAAGGGAATCAGGCGTCTTTTGCTGGTTTGAGCACTCGGCCATTCAGTGATGGGCTCTTGTGGGAATAGAGGAGCAGTAGTGTTCTGAACTTGTCCACTTTGGGATCTTACTTTTCTTTTACTGTGTAGTGATGTGTGCCTGGCATCTAAAGGCATGGAGTGCATAAATATCATTTCAAACAATTTTAGATCATAATAGCGCCAGAACAAGGCTTTTCTAGGTAAAAAGGTCGAGTATTTTTTTTTCTTAGGACCTAGAAATAAATGTTTTCAGCCGTGAGGATTTTGCCTTTTGGTTGTGACAATGCGTGCAAGTTCGAGGAAAAGGTCTTTATCTTTCGTTTGTTTTATTTCTTAAGCTTTCGCTAACTTGTCAAGAAATACGCATTCTACCCATTTCATCTGAAATGGATATAGGTAAAACAAAACACTGACAGGTTAAAAACACAACAACAATTGCAAAAATGCTCACGATAGACTTCTCAGATAGTGAGGATATTTGACATGAGTAAATGAAGAGGATTTAATATTATTAAGAATTTAAGTACAGCCGAGCTAACATTATCGTGATTCAAGAAATCCGAGACACAACAGCAACATGAAAATTGATGTCAATAATATTATTCGACCATACAAACGATTTTTTTTATCCTAACTGGGGTCGATACAACCATGACAAAGTCGCGTCAGAATAGGTCACCGATGGCATAATTGAAGAGAAGCAAACAACCGTCCTTTTTCCGTGTTGTTAACCAAGCTTCTGTAGCTCCAATTACCAATTCGTATGGATAACCGAAAGGGTGTTAATTACACTATATATGATATATACAAAGTGATACTCTCGACGATAAGCAACGAGTTTGTTTTTGAATAAACATTATCACACAGATACCTCCTACCAGTCAACCGGTAATCAAAGCCTACGGGGGCGGTCTTAAATATCACCAACGAATCGAGTTGTTTCATAAGTTCAAATGCGGATCAGAAGGTCGAATGCCGGGCTTGCTTTTATTGCAATAATTCGGTCAGATAAACACTTCTATAATTGATATCACAAGGTGCCATACCTGTACAGACAAGACACAACTGTAAGAGAAATATGCTGGGAAATGCGCTCCATAAAGTCATGGCTACACTCCAACTGGTGTCCAGAAGACGGAAACGCTTGTTGAAATACGGTGCTTACCTGTTGAGGAAAAGCATTTTTTCACGTATGCGTTATGGTTGTAAAATGAATGGGATAAACTAAAGGTCCGTTATTAGGTACTTACTGAAATCTTTCGTGTTATGATTAAGAATAATAACAGGCTTTCATTTCATGACCTTACGGTGCGATGCAAATCACTATAAATTCTCTGCGAGATGTAGATAGACTATGCTGGTCTATAAATTTGTAATAGAGTGTCGTCGATTTTTCTTTACAAGTTAGAGTTGATCGATAGCCATTGTCGAGAACGAAGTTTTTTCATGGCTTTGTTGTGTGGAGTCACAAATGAACAGGTACCAGCCAAATAAACAGGTTTGGCTATCATCGAGTGTCAGTTGCATGTGGAAAAAATCGTCGTTTGAAACTGAACAAGTAAAAAGGAATTCTCTGATCGGTTTTAACTTCGATTCTATAACGTAAAGAAGTTCTGGGGAACAAGAAGAATCATTCGCAATTCAGAGACGACCATGATACGAAACAAGCTCAGTAGGGTTACATCGTAGCACGCAATATCTTTTTTCGCGTTAAAGAAATAGATGTTTGAATTCAAGAGGAAGTATGACTTTTTTTCGATATGACAACGCTATAAAAAAACTCAGTAATGTTGTTGTCTGTTAACAGATTTGTTACTCATATTTTTCAGCCTTTGATGAATCGTCAACGGATTTTGATTGGTCAACAAGGTGAAGATTTAATCAGCGTTTCCCCTCAGATTCCATCATATTCCCAGTTGTTCCTTTTATTTCTGTGTCAAAATTTTCAATATTAATTAATAGACAAGATTGATTAGTGTCTCGATTAGCCAGCGGCAAGTACATAATCTATTTTTCTAAGCGGAAGGCTAAGGAAATCATTTATCTGCAAGTTTGTTCTTCATAATTGTCTTCGGGAATCACTCTCTGACAGCTTGGGGTAGCGATCTCTCATTCTCCACGGACGAGCGTGAACAGCACTCGGTATGAAGAGATAAAGATCTGCTGCAAATACACAACATTTTTTAGAGGTGTACGCATGAGTTGACCATTATTTGGAAGCAGTTATTTGCAAGTCATGTGGTGAGCTCTTGCCGCGAAAAAGAAAAAATAGCCAAATGATGAGATTTTAACGTCGCTATGCCCCTTTCCCCCATCCCGAACAATGTTGAACTTCTGCCCAAAAGGAGGATTAGAGCATCTTCCCAGGAGGCATTGCGCATCTGCTTTTATTGTCTGGTCTCTTCATCAAGTGACGGTTAATTTCATGATCGTAATGTCTTATGACCTTGTTCCCAAGTTGAAATCGAGAAAACTCAAAATTGTGTCACGGGTGGAAAGGTAGGGGGGAGGTGGTGAAAAGCAATGCAACCAGAAAGGAAAGCATGACGGGGCCGTGGCGTTTTGCCACCGATTGTAGATGGAGTTTTTAATATAAAGACTCATGTTTAAGAGCCTAGCTGTGGTTTCAAAAGTAAACAGTGAATAAAAGATTATTTAAAACGAGTTTTGTGCCCACTGAATGAACAAGGAGCTCCACTCATTCAGCGTCTCTTCCCGTCAACTATTTTTCATTAAGTTGTTTTAACTTAGCCTTCTTAAATGAAAAAAAAAATAGCTGTAATCAAGAGCTGTTTCAATCAATCGATACTAAGTGGAAATAAAGAAGGGAACAAAAAACCATTTAACCAAATACAGAACTTTTATAGAGGTAACTGTGCTCGAAATTGTTTATCGCATAAGGGTGAAGCCCGGATCAGCATTACGCATAAAAAATTGAGAGCTGATAAGCAATTTTTATTTTGTAAGGACAGGACAGCCCCTTTCTTTTTTATTATCGAATCTTGTTAACAAACACTTTCCTTTATTCACTCTTCATCGCAGAATAGTAGCGAGTGGCAAAGCCAATCAGATTGCAGCATTTTTGATAGAGCGCTTTTCGATAAAGTGTAGGAAAACCAAAATCAAAGTAATTACAATGGCTAATCAGAAGAAAGGAATAAAACCTTTAGGAGCCAATGAGAACTCAACGTAGAAAGAACCAAACTGCCTAAAGCGCGGGAAAACGCGAGCGACTAAGTCATGGTTGGTTGTAGTATTGCATCTGATTGGTTGAGAGAGTAATGCGAATGCAATTGCAGAGCGAATTAAAGCAAAAAAAAGCAACCCCAGATTACTTTCGACGCTCAATTTTAGAAATTTCTCCGGAACATTAATAGATTTATATACTAGATACCATTAGATGCAGGCCACACTAGATGGCCTTCATTTTTTTTTTCGATGAGTGTCCAGTTATATTAGTGGTACTTACATCGACGGAAAACCCAAAAAAACAAACGAAGTGTAAAACCAAACACAGGCATGAATATCTTTTCAACGTTCGTATACTGTAAGTTCGAAATGAAAAACTCTCTGAAAAGATAAAAAAGGCTATCTTGGAATAATTCTTTGGCAGAGTAGTATGAAGCCTCTCTTGGGGCTGAAATTTTCGTTTACTGTGGAACATTTTACTTTGTACAAAACGAGGGATGCATTCCGAAAAATCGCAGAGACTTATTAGCAAATTTGTTTTCATCGTCACTGGACCTTGCCCTCAAAAGAGCGTAATCCACTTATTACAAAGCTCGACACGAACCGTTACTTCATGATTTCACCGGCTTCATGTGTATACTACCATTAATTTTGAGGGCTTTTGACTTAAATAGGGGGCAGCCCCTTAATCTCATCAAAGAGGTACCGTTAGCTTGCGTAGCTGGCGGTTTTGTGGGAGATTTGTGTTGAACAGACCCGCAGAGTGGGCAGACCAATACACCTTTAAGTTTGCTGCATAACCTTAGTAGCACAATCGCAGGAAATCACGTTATTGTTTCGTTTGCTTTAAGAACAAAGACATAGAAATAATAGTAATTAATCATAGAAAGAAAACGGTGACGACACGAATGTGTGACTTAAGCCCGACTGTTTCATCGAACGAGCGTTAACGACGAATTTCGTTGTCAAAAAGAGACCATACTCTTCAGCCTGTAAGATTTTAGAAGAGTGCTCTTGATTAAAGACGTTTTCATTCGGTATAACGCAATGAACCAAAGGACTGTCATTGGAAAAAACTGCTTTTTTGGCTCCTCAACCGGTGGCGGTAATTTGAAACATAAAAATCCCTGTTGTAGTGTGACAATTCAGTGAATTACCTCATTGGTGCTCGCTCGAGTGAATCAAAGACATAAGGTCATTAATAAATTTAATCCGATTTTTTTGCGTTTATGGTAGTCAAAATATGACTTCTTGTTTTTGAATTTCATTGCCATTTTCACAGTCTACTGGTAAAAATTTGGGAATGAGGTTATTCGCAATTTTTGCAGCTCTGTTGTCTCTCCAGCTGTGTCTTATCTTGGCCAAAGGTCAGTACGTTGCTTAAACGGAAGCTTCACATTTTTGCTTGAACGATTATGCTTGAAGGCACAGACTGTTCAGGCTTCACTCAACGGTATCGAAAGCAGATGACTTGTTCTGGTTCAAAGAAAATTTAAGTGTATTCCTTGTTTAAAATTACCCGTATGTTTGTTTAAATCCATTTTAGCCGGTAATGTATTGGAAGTACCAACTGAACTTGCCAACTGTGGTGGACCTAAATTTCTCGCCTGTTTGTCTTTCTATGCTTCACTGGATGCATCAACTTGACATAGAAGCGTTTAGTAACGTTTTGAAAAGGGTTTCATTCCATGATCGCCCTATGTTGTATCCCTGCTTAAGATCATTATTACGAAGGGCGCTTTCGTAACTATGTTTTTTCGTCAGGAATGAATCTGTTACTTTTCGTAAAAAACATGTATCATATTTCCACCTGTAGCAGACCTCCGGCTTCCTAAATGTGTCAAGATAGTTTCTATTAATACCCCTCTTGACGATCCAACAAGAGCGGCGGAGAATTATGGTGTGCGAGCTGACAAAAGGAGAGCAATGCTGACTGACAAACCAGGAATCTTTCGGATTCGTGAGGGGCTCACAGATGAGAAGGGAACAGTATCTTTGGAGGCACTGTTTCACCCCAGGTTTTACCTGCGCCACAAAAACTACCACTTCCATTTGGAGAAGGAGGTCAACAATTCAGTGTTCTGTAAGTGCAAATTGCGTTGTTGAACTGTTAATTCGGTATATTTGTAAATGGTAAGGCAAAACAACTGAAAAATAATTTTTACGACTGACATGTTAGCCTGTTTAATGCATTTGTTATCATTCGCGGCCAAAATAACCCACCTGGAATGCCGACGAAGCTTTTAAATTGCAAGCACGCTAGTAAACATGTAATGATGAAAGATGTTAAGCGTCTCGTCACAAATGTAGGACAAAGAATAAATGTGGCACAAATATTTTCATTGGGGCTCGATTCCTAAAGAGGAAGTGCTAGATTATTTTCTTTGTTTCTCGTTCGTGACGAGGCAAATACCAGGTTTTTTTACTTCATGTCCGTGCTCAGAAGTTACCAACTTATCGATTTACTCATAAAGACATTTAGTTACGAATCCACGCATTTACAGTCTTCTCCTTAGAAAAAAATGACGGCTACATCGTCACTTGTTCTGAGGTTGGCGATAGATCAGAGATCAGCTTACCCTAACAACAGTATGACTTGTGATTAACATAACCTTAATGAGGTGTTTATGAAAACTTTATGATCGCAGCTGTTTTTCTTCGTTTTCTAGAATAATGATTAGGTCGAAACAAAATTATTTTTTACATCCTTCTGTCGACCAAGTCAAACGAGTCATATTCAACTTGTCATCGTAATACTGTAATTGGGTTCTTTTACAAATTCTGCATTACGTCTTGGGCCGACGTGGGAATCAATAAATATTATTACATCCATTTTGAGATCACTGGTGATCCTTTTAAACTGATTGGCTCTCATTAGTGCGATTTATTCATGAAAGGCATCATTTTTTGCTCTAAATCGCTTCTTTTTCCTGGCAAACGAGGAAGCTTTTAAAGAGATCAATCAAATTGCAGGTAAAAAGAAAACAGGTTTTGCAACTTTCTACAAATTAGCTCAATTGAATCAACAAAACATTGTTTTGCGATTTCAAAATGGATGTAATAAAGTAGAGATTGAACTTCGTGTGTTACAATTTTGCGATTTCAAATGAAACCTTGCCACGCACTGGTTTGATTTTGAAATCCAAATGATTTTAGACAAAATTTCACTCCACCCAGTTCAATTACCATTATATAGCAGGAGAAAGTTATAGTTAGCAGGCGGCCAGAAGTTGCCCAAATAATCCATTCCTTGTACAACGGTGTTGTAACGAAACTACTGATATATTTTCACAGATAAGGATGCAACTTTCTTCATTTTGAAAGTCACAGAACACCCAACCCTTTATGCGTTTGAACTATACAGTCATCCCACGTGGTTCATGCGACATTTGAAACACAAGCCTTACACAATGGTTCTCAGGAAAGTTAATGAGTCGAGTAAAGACGTGTTGGACTCCACTTTCTTTCTTGCCCCTCATCGTTGTTTTCCAAAGCAGGGAAATGGTAATCATCAGTCTGTTTTCCTTTTTAGATAATTCTTATCTTTGAAATGATCGTCAACAACATTATCCACAGGCCATTACGCAGAGGATGAGGTATTCATTAAGTACGAAAACTAGAGATTTTATGTGTGCTTCACAAAGCGGACACTGTAATTTAATTCATGGACAGAGTTAATGTTTCATCACAGTCGATAAACAAATATCAGGAATCTTTTCAGCTGTCTTCAAGTCTCCTCGGTCAAAAGTGTGTACATATTATTATTGAATTTTCGCCATATACTTAGCAACGGGCTATAGAAACTGCAAAAGAGAATATATTACTTGCAAAATAGAGATGCGTTGGAAAATATTTAGAGTCGTAAGTGATTCAAACTGTAATTTGACATAGATAGAATATTTACCTCGTCGGAGTTTCATAATACATATTTTTTTTTAAGATGACCTTCGATCAACGGAAAAATCGCCTTAAGCTTTTTTTCCTATTAGAATATATGTCCCATCATATAATTTCAATCATTCCTTTCCCTCTTCTCGTGATTATAAAATGAATTATTGTTAGATAGTTGATAAAGGTCATCTTTATGAATTCTAGATAGCAATGCTGAAAAAAAGACGGTTTTAGTTGGAGACGGGACATTCATAGGTAAGTTTTCTTGATCAGTCGTTATTCGCGGTTTGCTTTATTTAGGCTGATTTCTTTGAAATCTTTCTTAGCAAAAGTTTTTGGTATACCAAACTTTGGAATACCCATTTCTACCTGAAATCTATTCATTTCTCCCTTTCTTTCTGACTGTTGTTAGACACTGCGGATGAAGATGCTGATATTGCGACTGCCAAAGCCAACGATTTAAACGCTGGTGAGAATTGGACGTTCCATTGTGAGCAATTCTTCCTTTTTTACAAGGGAATTATTTTGTTAACTTTATATTTGTCGTCCTTCATGTTGCCACGTGCAGAGGATTTTGAGAGGGCGTATTTATCAAAGGAAAAAGGTAAGGAAAAGCCATAACGGTTGTTTTACGTGTTAATCTTTCACAAGAATTGAGACCACTCGCTTTTTCCTGTCTGCGAAACTTTCATCAAATTAATGCGAGTCGTAGTCATTGCAAACAAAGAGGCGTGGTCTTGAGCTACCTTCGAGCATCCGCCATCTCTCCATGTGATGTTACGTTAATCTGCGAGAAATAATCATAAAAAACACCCTCCGATAGAACTTAAACATTGCAATGATAGCTCTGATTGGTTGAGATGATATCAAACAAATCCTTTCTTGCTTTCTTTTCGAGCTCGGCCGAATAATTTAAGGATGTGAAAGCATCAATTTTTTACATGTAACAGAATAGTGAGTCGTTCATACATCGTCAGAGTAGGTAAATATCGGTAAAAATAAACTCAGCTTGGAGTAATGAGGATTGTTTTCCTCGATCCTGTAAAAAAATAAAATAAAATAACAGGTCATTGTCATTGGCTTTAGATAGTCAATTTTTGTTTGCTTCAGACTGAATCAGATGACTGACCAAAAAAAAATCGTTTATTCATTTTGAAATTCAATCATAAATAACTGAGTGGTTTCGTAAAGTAGCTGTCCCATAATATACGGTGATTGTATACTATGTCACTTTTGTCATGTTTATCGAAAAATAAATATTCATGTTTCTAAATCTGATCATTTTTCCTTAAGATGAAAAAGACGACTCGATTGTAATACACACTGAAGGTAATTGTTAAAAGAACTTTGGATGTTTTTGGCACTTTGATACTTGCAAGGAGTTTTACAGTGTTTAAATACTGTTATTATGTAATTCGCAGATGATAAGACGGATGATGGGGATGATAAAAAGCCTATTAAAATACACACAGAAGGTAGATAAATTATGCCCATTCATTCTTTAATGGGCTTTTTATTGGATCTTGATTATGCCTATTGTTATAGCTCAGATTTCGAGCTTTTCATGAAATGCTATCCATGATGAATTAAATTCAAATTAGAGCTCTTGTCTAACTGCTTCGTCTCCAAATGTCTGGTGGGTATATAATCTTCTGGCTTTCACAAATGAGTTACCTTCACGTTTTCTCATAGCAGATTCCTCCGAAGAAAGCCAGGAAGAAATTCTAAAGGAAATCGAGGACGGTACGTTAATTTCTCTCAAAATAATGATAAATAAACACTCACTCAAGAGAGCTCCTCCTTAACAGCTTCGCTCTAAAATTCGTCAAGGCAACCATTACAACTCCAGGATTTATTTTTATTGGATCCTCGATGTACCCATGATGCCGCTGTAAATTTTGCAACTTCAGTCGTTTTTAAATTTGTACAAAATTTGAGACTTAGCTCTGGAGCAGAGCAGCCAACTTACCGATAAAGACCGCCGAAACGCAGTCTATAGACCCAATACGATACACATTTCCATAAATACTTCTCAATTTATTCTCAGCTTTTAGAACTGCCCAGAATACAAACAATTCTACGTACCTCGAGAAAATAGAGAAAGACATCGAGGAAAAAGTGAACAACATCGCTGAGAAAGCTTCAGATTATCTAAATAAGCCGTCAATTCACACTAGAAAGAAAAATAATGGCAAAACAAGTGCTGTTCACGATATTGAGATTCATACCGAGTCAGATAAACCGGAAAACACGAAAAAAATTGACTCGGAAAGCGATGTTGATGAACCAAGCCATGAACAGGACTCAATACACAACTCTTCAGAGGACAATAAAACGGAAAGAACACAAAGGGTAGAAGTCCTGGGCCCTGTGATTGATCTTACGAAGCCTTTGGATCAGAACGATGAAACAGATATTGACAAGGAGATTGTAGTGACAGGACAACCCAAGTTGAACGGAAAACTTACAATAGACACAACATATCAGTATAGCCATCCTCCCAAGCTGAAGAACGGGGAAAAAGAGAGACACAAAGAGAAACTTGCCGGGTTTAGTATTGATGACGTAATTACCCCCAAAACCCGTTCAAACAGAACGTCTAAAAAGACTCCATTGCACCTGCATGTTGTGCGGAACAAGGCTTACAAGGATTTAACAGTGGCAAACAAAGCTCTGAACTCGAACATTGAGAAATTAAGGAATGTTCTGGAGGCAATTGAGGATGTTCCAAGCGATAACAAAGCAAGTGAAAAAGGAACTGTTATTATAAAGAATATGCATCCAAATGCATTATACCATCAACAACATTTCAACAAAAATAAACGTCCAAGTCTGGCGCTTAGTGGAACTCCAGAGGTCCACCAGAACCCTCCTTACTTGCCTCAGACTCCATCGGACTTGAAGGTGCTCAAGTCGCAATCAACTGTACAGACAACTGTAACAGAGTTGCCGCACTCTCCGTTCACAACATCAGCTGCTGACGAAAAAGCGTCTACGCCGATTCAGAACTCGAGAGCAAAGGCTTCTCCCTTGAAGAACAACAGCGGAAACAAAACGCAGTTGGCAACGGTGGAGGGGGCAAATACTATCCCACCAACAAGCACCCCAGGATTACACGTGATCCAAGGCACTAGAGACCTACCCAGTGGTAAAGCTGGTAACAACATGTCTTACGAGGTATTTGATCACCTGGCCAGTGAACTTGTTGATCATGATACCACAGGAAACCCAACTCCTGTCACCGCCGGCAAAGGCACAAGAAACACTGTAACTGACTGGATGAAAAATCTTAAGCCCCACAACGCTTCATTACAGGAGACTTTTAATGAGCTGAATCCCGTGGATTCTGCTAAGATATGTGAGTGTCATAAATTTTGTAATGCATATAAGAGTAGTTTGAGCCTCGACGTTTTTATTTTTAATTTCATCCGATGATATGCTATTGTTCAGGAAGGGAAAGTGCAATTTAACTTAATCTTCGTGAATCTCCGGTTTTTTCCATTGGTAATACGTATGTTCCTGATTCTAATTACGTTTTGTACTAGTGGAAATAGCTCATGTGTTTCCAATTTGGATTACTCATCTTAAGCTCATTTCCATAAAAAATCAAGGAAACTACACATAGACAGAAATTTTCTTTCCCTAACACAGTAAATGCCCGATATATTTAATCAGGTGGTTATTAGAGTAACTGCTGTTGTCGCTATTCTCGTTACCTATCTCTCCCCCAACAAGAGAGAAGCAATCGGTAATGATACTCTACTGTCTTCTAATGCTAGTGGATTACATCACCTTTTGATTCCATCCAAGATCGTGCCTAGCGAGAGTTTCTACGATAGTAGACAGGGATAGTACAACAGCCATGCTTTGATTATGATGGTAAAAACATACCCTTTGTTCATGAACAGTTTACCTTGACAAATGCGAGGACAAGTTCCCCAAAGCCTGTGAAGACTGGGCGGCTCAACGATATTGTTTGACTTTCAGCGAGCTGATGAAGAGATATTGTAGAAAGGCCTGCAAACTATGCAGTAAGTTATTATAAGTTATAAGAATCCTTTATGCCATAAGATGGATACAAGTAGAAGCTCAAAGTGTTCCAGGAACGAAACAGAGGGTGAGCGAAGACATGCGTTATTTTGGTTGGAACGCAATATATTCATCATCCTCATGGGCCGATTCAAGTGAAAGTGGCGCAGTGATGTAAACAAGACACCAATGTTTGAAATTCGCAGATGAGCTAAAATTTTTCTTATGACGGGACTATGTAAAAATTTAGTTAGCCACTGAGACTGTGAAGTGTAGGTCGCAGTTTGATGCTTGACTCTGGTGTTAACTTTGACCAAAGAGAACTGGACAATTTCACAGAACGCAAACATGTTCTTTGTTAACACATCGTGAATAACCTTCTGTGAATAACCTACTGTAAATAACCTACTGTGAATAACCTCCTGTGAATAACCTACTGTGTTTACCTGATAAGGTGAACTTTGAGGCAAAATTCTCGTTGTTATTTTCAGATCACGTGTTAGCAACGGGTTTCACAACCTGTGATAAAACATGCGGCGGAGGAATTAGACTGCGCATGATCAAAGTGAACAACCGACAAGTGTTGCAGCGAAGGTCGTGCAATGTGCAAAACTGTCCGGGTAAGGGAGCGGCCATTTTTTTACGTTTGTAGAAAAAACTTTGAACTCAGTTCGGTGGACGTGACTGTAGTCATCTCGGAGCACCAGTTGACACTATGCCGTGTGTTAAGGGATGTAAAGGTAAGTAGTTCTGTACCAGTCTCTTTCAACTTAGCAATAATAATGTAGTTAAATCAACGCTAACGCAGTTGGATGACATCAGGGAGGGGATGACACTTGAAAACTCATTTTACATTAACCAAGCCTTTTTGTCCCACATGGCAGAAAGCTTTTGGACGTTTTCTGCAAAAGAATGCGCGAACTGAATGTACCCTTTTGGTTGACCAGTACTCCCCACCCCTCCGACTTTACAGTGTCAAACTGACTTGTCCTTGAAACTTAAGCTCAGCATTAGAGAGTATTTTGTGATAATTTCAAGTTATTAAGAGATTTAACTGAATGTGACTTCATAAACTGATCGGCTCTTGCAATTTCCAGACCACTACTTTGCAAAATAATAAATGCAATATAAATCAGTAAATGACCATATGCATTGAATGAAACTGCAATAGCTCGTATTTTTATATTATTAAACAAAAGTGTTCATTTCTATATTGTTATACCTTCACTAGGATTTAAGCCAAGCAAATACCATTCCTCTCTAAATTCAGGTGCGTTACGTTTCACACACGTCTTCAAAAAAAAAATTTATTGAAACGCAACGAAAACTTAACGTTAGACCAGCTTTCCCTTTTGTTTGTTTGTTATGAAAAAGTACACCTATCACCTTTGAAAACGAGTTGTTAAAAGTTAAGACGAAAGGGGTTTGATGTGCTGATCGGCGCACGTAGTAAATTCATCTCACCCCAATTTACGTAACGAAAGTGTTGCTAATTAAAGGACAATTTGCTCGACCAGAAAACCACCCTATTAATCGTTACTGAAATGCTTTAACGTCAACCTTTTTTGAAATTTCTCATTTAATTGTTAAGATCTGACGTGCACCACTATTCAGTGAAAGACAACTGTACAATCCTCGCGCGTTATGCTTTCTACTAAAGGAAATCTTTATTCTTTTTTAGGACTCAAGAAAAGCAAACATCATACTGACCGTCTAAGTATGCTCTGATTCTTAAATCTTCTTGTTAATTTTCACAAACGCACTTGACAACATGCATGAACACTGTCAACAGGCCCTGAGGAGTTTCCTGAATACCACGCAGAAGAAGCAAATCCGAAAGCTTCAGACCCTGGTAGGTGATTGGTTTTGACTAAACTTTCCAAGTAATCAGCTGCTTGTAGGCCTAATGGGACCAATTACGAATTTTCGTGCACAACTAACTTCCCTAAATGCAGTGTCTCGCTTGAATGCAGTAACCTTTAAACTTACTCACACTTGAAGTTTATTTAAAAGAAAAACAATCGTACCATATTAAGGCAGGTAATTAAAGAGCGAGTGTAATCACACAATGGCAATATTTTGACATTTTTGGGAACAGAGAGTATGGAAGATTGAGGCAAAAGAAAAAATTGTTCTCCTAGTCTGTTGCTGTTGGAAAATTAGTTATACTCATTGCAAATAGACTTCCTCTATATGTTAGGCAAGGGAACGTCTATGAGTGTCATCAGTTTTTACAATTTCGGTAACAAAAGGCAAACGAACGTTAAGCTATGAGCGCATGTTAATTTAAGAATATGTATACTGTACACTTCGTGCATGTAACACCAAGTGGGCGAAAAAGAGGCCGACTTGGATAGCGAAGAGGACGAAGAGGAAGACTCTGCAAGTACAAACGAAACTTCCACTAACCAAGGTTAGAAGCTCTCTCAGATAAACTTTTATCTCGTAAATTTGAAATGCTTGAAGAGATAAGACGACTTATATCACCAATTCATCGTATATAGTCATGGAGTAACAGAAATTTGTAGCGGCTACAGAGGCCTACACTGATAAATGAAACAAAAGAAGGCCTTTTTTTAGGAGTCCTCCCCTTGTATAAGCCTTTAGGAAGGTGTTTGTAAATTCCTTAATTTCATGCAATTTTTACTTCTTTCGGCCTTCGTCAAAGGCTGTAGGTCATACATTTGAAGATCCAATGTCAGTAGAATAGGACACCTTAAATCAAGTCATGTTTATCTGGGCTTACGATTATCGGAAAAAGTTATTACGCGACGGGTTGTTTTGGAATAATGCAAAGTGATATTTCGCCATGTAAAGGAAACCCTGTCAAGCCTTTTTCTGCTTTTTTTGTCCGAAATTGAAATAATTTTATACTTCAAGCATATTTACTCACTAGTTTTTCAAAGCTTGTGAATTAATTATGACAATTTTTCATGGCAGATTACGGTCATGAGTTTGAATGGCCCAACAAGCACCACCGTCACAAACCAGTTGTCCTAAAACACGTGCACAAAAACGTCTACAAACACCGAGATGACTATGGTAACAATCATTATCTAAACGTCGGTAAGTTGTAACACAAATGTCACCTAAATACAATTTCCCTGCCGTGCCGGTATTCTACGATTTTCTCTATAGCGGATGCATTTGGTTTGATTTAAAGACAATTTCTTCTAGGCACAACCGGACAAAATTAAATTTCTCTGATCCGGTCTTCTTTCTGTCACCAACACTGCACCAATCATTAGCACCGCCATGGTAATCATCTATCTACGGCATCTTTCTGGGAGAAAATCCAAATTACAAAAGGTTAAAATAGAATAAACGTTCACTGAATCTCTGGTTCTTCCATCTCTGAGAAAGCAACGTTTTTCTCGGTCGAATGTAAACAAACGACATAAGTAGGCGAAAGTGTCTGCGTCAGTTTCTGATGTCAAGGTTAGAGTCTTGTGATGTGATAGGCTAATAAAGGAAAATCACACACGCCACGCATGAATACAAAATGAAGTGCAAAGGGGAAGAGGAAGAGAAAAGTTGTTATTTATAACATAGCTAGTAAATTTGTGTAATCAATTCAATTGCGCGAGCGTGCTTCATATTCCTATTGTGCACGCTCATGACGTCAGCAAACAAATCCCTCGAGAAAAAACAAATTTCTATCGGGTTGAAAATGTTATAAAACAATTGTTTCATACGTCAGCCGTGCGTTCATCGAGATATGAAGCACTTGGGAAGTTTGGAGAGCACTCAAGAAGCTAGAGGCTACGCCTCGAGCAACTCTTACGCATCTTTCGTGCTCTCCAAACTTCCCGCGTGCTTCATATCTCGATGAACGCACACTGACGTATGCACCAATTGTTAAATGAATTGCAAAGGGGAAGAGGAAGAGAAAAATTGTTATTTGAAATATAAAACCTAAAAGAACTTAACAATGACGATGACGATAACATAATCGGCACCATGACAATGATAACGACAACGATACTAATTTAATGATTGTCAATGTCGGTGTTCCTGTAGCAAAAATTCATCGCCCTCCTTGTAACAAACAAAATTTCACCTAAAGGGAAGTAAGATAACGATTTCACGGTTATCAGACTTCCTGTTTGTAAAAAATTCATTCACGAAAAAAGAGGCTAAAGTTCAAACTCCGTAGAAAATATGTATTAAACCTGTAAAGGAACATCAGCATTTAGCCAAAACAAAAACTCCGAAACTTATTAAAATTCCAAACAAAGTGTAACAAACTTGCGCGAACGAAAGCTCAAAACAAAGAAAAATTACGCGAAAAATGTCCTCGTCAGCTTTGCAATGTCAAGGTCAGAGTTCTTTGACGTGATTGGCTAATTTGTGTATTCACGCGTAGCTCGCGTAAATACGAAGAAAATACAAAGAGGGACGGGAAAAGATAAATTTAAAAACGAAAGAGAATTTGTACTATGTTTCTTTTTTTTTTAAGATGAGGAGCAGAGTCCATATGATCAACTTCAAACTCACGTGGTGCGATACCAAGGCCGCCAAGGTCAGAAGCTTCAGACGCTACCCCTCTCTCCATAAAAGATGTTTTTTAATGCAAACTTGCCCACAGCCATTAGTCTCGTTTGTACCATAATATTATTTATAACGTAATATGGCTGGACGGACTTTAACAGTCAGCTGCAGAACCATCTAGCAGGCCAATACAATGCCTATACAAGGCCAATTTAGTTTGGCCTTGACTTCATAGCCGACGGTACTCTTCGTCATTTAGTGCAATAAGTCAATTGAAGTCCATTCTTAAGATAAACATTACGTACCGATTTTGCAGAGTCAAGAAGACTGATAATTTCAGCTCAGTGACATCTTTTAGACTACTAGAAATACCTCTTACCAACCTTTGATGTTCTTTCAGTGGCAAAAATGCAGTGCGGTCCCTCAAGGCTGCTTAATTTCCAAAAACATCCTTCTAATAGTCCCATGGCGTTTAAAAGATCTAATCCGTACAAGCTCTTTGACGCTGGTGGGATTGTTTATGATAAAGATGGCGTACCCAGTGACACTACCACGAATGTCGTTCAAGCTTTTGACTCGTAAGTTATTTCAACTGATTTAATTATGCGAGTGATTAAACTTGTTCTTCTTAGTTATGGGAAATCGAGTTCTCCCCAACCAGAGGGCATGCCAACAGGGATTCCTCCCAAGTGATATTTGTATCTTAGGAATTAGCCCTTACATCTCTTAAAACTATTCAATTTTTTGCAATCAAGTGATAAAATTAGTTGAGACAAGACATCCATGTATCCACTTAAGATCAAGTATTGACTGGATGAAATTTAAATTGAAATGCAGATCATACAACACCCCATTCCCCCATTGTACAATCACGAAAAACAAAGTAAAGCATTGCACAGGGGAATTAGCAAATTATTAGGGATAATTCATTCGCTATTCTAGCATATTTATTGTGATTTTAATGATAATGTCTGAAAAATTGTGTCGCCGATTGAAGCATCGTTATTATGGACTAGACATGAATGTGATCAGTTTGTAACTGATGTTTAACAGGGATTTAGGGCATGGAAAAAACATACTGAAAAGGCAATCTTTTGTCAAATAGTTATGGTCGTGAATTGAATAAATTTTTTTTTATAGATGACTGGAAATGGAAGGTTTGCTCAAATTTTGTGGATTGTGTAGCACTAGTAAAAAATCTAAAATCGTTTCCTTTCCTTCGTAGACCTTACAAAATAATTCTTCAAAAAGGCAAAAACAACCAAATGAAAGTGTTAGAGCAGTGCATTGAGTCAGGTAGGCCAGATGGTATCTATTTTCAGGCAGCAAGAAGTTAAAAATAACCTTCAGAATTTTTGATAGCATTCTTAGGTTTGGAGACGAACACAAGAGAAAGAACGAAACCAACAAATATACGAATGACTTCAACGTTAAGTAATATCTTGAGTCTCCAGTATAAAACGAGACACCTGATGGGATTCATTTATTTGTTTTTTCATGTGATTTTGTAGTTTCACAGTCTATTCGCAGTTTCCGGGGCTATCCGCCTCAATTTTCATCCGAGAAGCTGTGTGTGCTTGTTCCTCTGTTTTGCCTGAGCTCATTTGTATGAATGTTCAGTTCTGATCGGCTGATATTTTCAAAGTGAAAGCTTTCAACTATAAGCGAAATTCCCACGATGCATTGTTAATAAGTTCTTGATATAGCACGTTGTTCCTTTTTTACAGATGCCTCTGTGAACCCTGAGGCGGATTTAAAGCTTGGTGAGCAGGGTCTTGGTAAGAAAGGCAATGAATTCCTTTTTGTGCTTCGTGTGATTTCATTGAAGATGTTATAGAAGCCTCACAGAAAATCGCCTTGGCGAATTATGTTTCCTCATCATCTATTATTATTATTATTATTATTATTATTATTATATACTGAATCAAAATGTATTTCCTAATAGCCATGGCAAGTGAACAGCGGTCACTCCCGACAACTTCCGCTTCAACACCAGCAGCGAATAGTCTGGCATCCAATCGCTTCGCAGAAAATGGTTAGTGGGACAGTCAACACAAGATTAGACTCCTTCCAAAATATATTGAGCAATCAAGTCACATGATACCTTAAAACGAGCGTTGCTTGACGTTTTGCTAACCTTTCCATCACGATCAAATAGTGTGGGGTAGAGGGAGGGTGATCCTCTTAGACGCACGTGATCATCACACAAGAAGAGTATTACAGAATCGATCCAGAATAATCAGAAACTCACGCCACTTTCTCAATTAATCAGGTTCCATATTATAACTAACCGCGACTTAGTCACTCGCGTTTTCACATGCGCCAGGCAGCTTGCTTGTTTTTCCTGTAAGTTCTCGGCTCCTTTGTGCTGAGTAAGGTGCCGTTGAAAACGCAATGGAAAACTGGTAAATGACCAGCAGAGAGAGACAACGTGATTGATTATACGAATATTGGTTTGAATTTTGCCTCTAAATGGTCAAGAAGAGAGCATAAGTTTTCTAAACCAATTCAATGAGGTAAAATTGATGCTATGTGGATTACATCCGACACTAACAGTATTGTTGCAATAACAACCTTTCTCAAAAAGTTTCTGCTGCAGCTAATTTTCCACACTCATCACGACGCACAATTGTTTGGCGTATTCTTTAATTTGTTTGTTTGTTTTTTTGTAAATCAAATTCAAGGTCTATATGAGTACAAGTACCAAGACATAGGAGAAGGTGTCGATGATAACAAAATAGGTGAGCTAAATCACAAAAATATTATCTTGCAATAAACTTTTTTTAAACAAGTTTACTGTTTATCCCTTAAGAAATTTCGTGAATAATTTGCTTTTTATGAGGGACTGACTTAGTTGCAATCCTATTTTTAATCTACTTCATGAACTATTACACATTACTCTGTTAACGATTAATTAGATAGTGACGTCAGTGATCAGCTGACCAGGGCAATCAAGAACGAGGAAGCAGAAATCAGTCGGAAATCTTTAAGGAGTCAAGGTACTAATTTGGAGCTAATTGCAATGTAACATATATATGCGCATGCATTTATACAGTACTGTGTCCGACCACGTTCTAAATAATAACCAATAAGATGGCGTCTTGACGGAGATTGATTCCCCTTAATAGGCAATATTCTAAAGGGAAGCTCTCTGAAGTTATTTTTCCATCACTCCCAATTTCAGTCAACCCAGAAATATTCAGAGATAACCAATTTATTGTTGCAAATGACGGGCTCACTTTAAACTTTTCCAATAATAACAATACAACAATATAACAACGTTTTGAGATACTAACAAAACTGAAGATAGGATTATTAGCTTTCTTGACTTTTTGGTCAAGTTACAAAGCCATGTATCCTCACTAGTCATATTGACTCAACAGGCACATGATTCATGATTTCCTTGAACCGGGAAATAAGGCGAGAACCTCGTGTCGTACAGTTTACTATTTGAATCCCTGCTGTATTAAGCTATTTATTTTACAGATCCTAAGCCCACCCTTAAAGAGGAACTGTTTGCTGAGAAAGAGGAAGCCTGGAGAGAGAAGAAATACGAAGATTCCCTTGCCAGACGGGCTAAGGTGATGTCTTAATGAGAACATAACGTGGTAAGAAACGTGGTAAGAAACTTTCCAGTGTGATTTGATGTGCACTCGCGTGGTGTTAATTGTATGTATTATTTTCAGGAGGTTAATTGAGATCACAGCAGGGATCCTCAGCTTACACGTTTGACGAAGATTTCCTGCAGCATAGACGGTTGGAGCTCTACTGACCCTCATTTATGGAGTCAACCTGTGTAATTTTAAATACTAGAGAAGAATTTCTATAAGCAGAAAAATTACACGCTCATTTAAGTTAAGTTTACAAATTTGATTTCTCCTGAATGATTCTCAACACGTTGAGTAGATAACATAATCATATTTCCTGATTGTTTCTTTAAAATGGCGGGAGGCATGTCACCCGAAAGAAACAATTGAAATGTTTCTGCAGTCGCCATAATATTAGATAGGACGTTGCGTGGACGACTGAAATTTGTCAGTTGATGAATGGGAACCGCTAACATGCACTGATTAATGAGAAAAAACAGTACCCACCCTTTGTAAATTCAATTTAAGTGGAAATAGGTCTCAAAACACTTTCGAGTCAACTTTCACGCATAGTGTCCAGACTCAGAGAAAAAAAATAAGAAGCATAGTCTCCTAATTAAGGTGAAATTAGAATATGAAGAGAAAAACAAATACAATTTATTTACGAAAGTGTCTCTACTCATACAAAATACTAAAAATGATTGTAAAATGAAAAATTTGCTAAGAGGGAAATAAGAGAATTTACTGAAGGATTGATAACTAGTTTATAATAAGTAAACTATTCATATGACCGATAACAAGATATAGTTAATTTTCCGGAACACCCAAGCAGTATTGTCTACGTAGGTGTACCATTGTTTCTAGATAAATGCACTCATTAACATTGTTCATCAGTAAAATTATTTTCAAGTGCAAGGATATAATAAAATTTTCATTTGTTCATCTCTTCATCGTACCTGTTTGATCAGGAAGTGGGGCGAGTCTTTTATAGAGACATTCAAGTTGAGTTTGTTCTTATCCATTACCAACTGGCTTTTATGTCACATCCTAATATTCAGTTCACTAGCTGGGGAACCGCTTTTGGCGTAGTGGGTGTTGGAGAGGAGGGGAGTGAAGGTAAAACAACAATGCTATAATTTGGTTTTATGAACCAAAATTCCTGGTTTCAATTTGGACTAGACAGCTACAGCACAACTGTATACAATTCAATGGTTCGGCCTTTTTTATCGCCTTCTGAACATGAAAATTGCCCTGGGAACAAAGTACGGAAAAAAAGGCCCTAACGAGTAAAGAGGAACCAAGCAAATCTTTGAAGTTGTTATCAAACCCACGAGCTTCATCTAATATTCCCTCGGACTTGGAACCAGTAATGTCCTTCTCTTTTGTGTTTTTAGGTAATTTGCTTTGTTTGGGAGATTTAAGGGCTCCCCGTTTCACCGTAAGGGGTCACCTCAGGTGCAGCTCTGTGCCGCTTTACCGACGATCCACTCCTTGCCATGATGGGGAAGGAAAGTTTGTTTCGTGTTGCGTGACGAGACCAAAATTAATAACGGCTGCTGAAGATGCTCTGTCGCTAACCAAAGACTTTTTTGGTTGTTAAAATAAACAAGCAAAAAATAAAACGGAGACGAAACAAAAAATTGGAAACAATCTCCAAAACTTTTTCCCGTTGAAAATAGCATGCGTGTACAAACCTGCTAAAGCTCATTTTATATTATATTTGATAAAAAAGGAAATTTTAGAACCATAGCCACAAATAATATTTCAGTAGCACTGGATGATTTCGAGAGAACGAGAAAGTTTGACCGACGAGCTAGTAAGTAAGTCCACCTGGTTGCCGTGTGACCTTTAATATATGAGCTAGTAAGTGTTTAGAGGAACTATTGTGCTTTAGAAAACTGGCGAGAAATTTGGTGGTTGCCAATTGGAAGTTGTTAAACAGTGATAAGTAGATCTCAGAAACAAATTTTGAAATGCCGACCTCTTAGTTGGAACAAATTTCTTCCGACGAGGTGCTCTCCTTCTAGACATGTTGAAACCCTTCCTGATATTTCTCACCATGTCAGGAGATTGCTCTACCTTCGTAGAAAGATTTCCCAGGCTCTCACATTTTGAGCCAATCTCTTGTCTTCATGCTTTTAACACTGTTCAAAACATAAATGTTTGCTTATTTGTCGATAAATGACTTAACCTTTGTAAACAAACGTTGTTTCATCTCGCTGGTGGTAATCTTAAACTATTCTCTTCGATTTCTTTTGGTTTTATTACAGGTTTCTTTTTTTCATTCATTAAGTATCAGAATTGTGATTTCCCCTACTCTTGACGTTATGATCGGCTGGGTTCAGTCGTAAAAGTTCACTATGGTTCGTTTAAACAGCAATTCTTTTGTATGGCTTATTGCAATAGTGATTCCACTTTATGGTGCCGACCTAGGTAAGTGCTAGTAATTCTTAACATAAACATAATGTAGCCTTGAACTTTTTCACAGTTTTCCGTAAAAAAGGCTCTAGAAGGTTGTTTCAATGAATCGCAATAACATGTAGGTCTGATATTTCGGCTTTCCAAACTTGCAACTTTGCTTTGATAGATTAAGTGCAAGATTAAGAGCTAAAATCTAAATATAGCTCCTGCAGTATCGTTAAACTAGTCTGTAGTTTTGAAATATAAAGGAGGGGATGTCATAGCAGCTTTTTTCCAGGTAATAAAACCTTTAGGTATTCATTACTCTTATCTAAGAAAGGAATAAAAGTTTTTAGTGTACAGTTACGTTTGCTCTGAAAATAGAACGTTTCATGGAATATGACTCTTACTTGGTTAAAAACACAAATGAGACTGATTTTCTGAAATTTTTTTTCCTTCTATTGAAATTTTGGAACACAACTAAGTTTCTTGCTCAAGTTTTATACCACATATGTCTTAAACGGCAAAATATTTCTGTTGATTGAAAGAAGAAAAATTAATCAGCCGGTAGCGGGTTATGTTAGCACCTTGTTAGCTGGTGTGAATCACTCACGGATGAGAGTCTATCCTTAGGGAGTAAGGGAGTAATCCTCTCTTTTTTGTACAAAGCTTGTCAGGCTGATGAAGGTAATGCCTTTAAATAAGCTCCTCTCTACGTGATGATAACTGCAGGCCAGATGTCGATATATCGGAAGAAATGATAACGAAAAATGTAGCAAAACTGGCTGTTAAACTACAGTTAAAAGTTTTAGGTCATCAGAAATAGTGTTAATACAAAAAATTATGACCTACTCTTCTCTTTTGAAACTCGTCTGCCATAACAAGACAAGAAATATAAGGATCATCGAGACGGAAAGGAAACTCTGAAACCAAACAACAGTTTACGAACCCTCAACTTATTTTTTTTATTTTGTCAGTAAGACGACAACATTTCAATCTGAAACAAATCAATTTTTTAAAATCTGAAAGTTACGATCCTGGCCCTCCTCACACCTCAAATGACATTATCGACATAAAATCCCAAACTGAAAATCAGTTAAAGAAAACACAAAAACAAAAGTTGCTCAAAGCTACTTCCGCAGTTCTTGCAACTTTTTGTGTTGCGTGAAAGATGCTTATGCTTTCCTTTTCTCTGAAAAAGTTTCTTCCAGATCAGTCAAGTAAAATCACTGTTAAGCTAGATAAGATTTAGAACTATGTTATAAACGTTGTGAGATTCCTAAATGTATGTCTTTTTCTGCCTGAAGACCCAAATGCGGCGGTTAAGTCTCATTCTCGGACGAAACGATCTTTTGGAAATCCTGGTCCTCCATGCAACAGTAAGTAGTTGGCGATAAAAAGCTTTGCTCGGGCTCAAAATGCTCGTTTCAGTGTTTCTTGATGTCAATATCTAGCAGTTATTTTTTCTAGGAGGTTAAGGAGACACTTGAATTCTAAACGGCAAATAAGAATGTCTAATTAGTGCGCCCTTTCATTTGTTGGAGATCGGACGGAAAGAACAGTAACGTCAATTTTATCAATATCTTTTTAAAAGTTAATGTTCTTTTTCTCATTTCAGTGGAACATGGGGTGTACCTGGAAAAATGGGACAGGATTGATTACAACCGTATTAAATTCTTGCTGACTGATCCTCGTTTTCCAGACCTACCATCTTACTCAACTTGTGTGCCCTCATTCGAACAGCCTTCTAACTGGGGAGACTTCTTTGGTTCTCGTTTAAGAACTTACTTCGTCCCTATTCAGACCGGAAATCATTATTTTTTCATATGTAAGGGTTACTTTTTATGAACAGTACAACAAGAGGTATATCCTGATTAATCGGTTGAAAGATCTTAGCCAAACTAAGTTGGATGACGGGAAATAAAATGTCTCACGCATGTGACAAACGGTCAACATAATTTTTTTTAAAATAATAATTTCCAAAATTGCCTATACACGTCTGAGCTGATGGAAACTCAAACGGAACACAAGTCTGAAATATCTAACATTCCGATTAAAGGAGTCGGTCATGGTAAAGGAGAATTTTGGGAGCGAATAGACTCGTCACTGCCATTAAAATGAAACGTGTTGTGGAGTGTGTATGGTGCCATATTTGATGTTATTAATGGCACGCTGATATAACTATAATAACCAAATGAAACTTCAGAGTATTCTCCAGAAACTGTGGAGACATTTTTCCTTATTTTACGACAATTTCCTTGTGCTCAATATGATGATCACTTTGCCTATATGAGTATCTAAATCCAAAAGCTCAATAAATCTCGAACATTTTTCCTGGATCGCGTTTTATTCAAATGTGTTCGAACAGTGTTATCACTAATTCACGCAAATGTTTTGCTGTCACTCATCTCTTTAGCATCTAACGGTGGAAGTGAATTGTTCATTAGTACAAATAACCTAGAGACGAATAAAGCAATGATCTGCGAAGTTGACGGAGGCTTTCCTACAGAGAAATACGAATACGACAGGTAGTTGTAAAGTAATCAATGTTTACTTTACATTTAGTCAGAGGCAAACATGACCGACTTATCACTTAACTACAAAGTTTTCAATGTTTCTTATTTAGTTCAACGAGTCACAAAATTTTGTTTTGCCATCGTATTCCATAGGTTTACCAACCAAAAGTCGAATGCCGTATACTTAAAGAAAGGACGTTATTACTACATGGAGGCCATAATGAAAGATGACCATCAGATTGATCATTTGGAAGTTGGTTTGCAAACTCCTGACAAGACTATTTACACCGTTATTCCATCCAAGTTCCTTTGGACAACGCAACGTTACGTAGGTAAGAGATATTCTACATTATATCCCGAAAGACTAATAAGTTCAAATAAGGGATAAATTAAAGGCGTAAAATAAGAAGCGGTACAAAAAAAATTATTGTCAGTTTAGACTAAAGTCCAACGTTGTTATACTTTGACACCTATGGCTACTACTAGTTGTAAATTTAGAGTATTTTCCAATCATAAATTAGAATTACAAGATGTTACGATCAACAACAACTCACCGCGTTGGCTGCCATATTGAACGACTTGAACGTTAATAATTTATGCCACAACACTAAGTCTGAGTTTGTCTAAGCATCACAGTTCTCAAGAGAAGCAAAGCTGAAAAATTATGTAATATGAAAAATATACTTTTAGACAGTATATGACTTACGTTTTGTTTGTTAACAGTGCACAATATGACACAGCAGTCGCTTTTATTAAAAACTGCGGCAGGAGCTGGTGCAAAAGCAGGTTTTTCATTTGGAAAAAAATTAGCGATGACAAGTGGCAAAAAGGCAGGAGAAGAGGCTGGCACCCTGGCTGGAATGCAGGCGGGAGCATCAGCTGGTGCTAAAGCAGGCGAAAAGGCTGCTATTGAAACAATGAAAGAAGCACTGGAAGAAGCTTTAAATTCCTTTCACGGCGACAACCTGCACAAATTTAAAATCAATGTTAAGGACGGAAGGGTGGTTTCTGTAACCGGTCCCGGAATAG